AGCGTCCTCGATATTCCTGCTGTTCGTAACAAATGCGCATCAGCGGTTGGAATCCTCCGTGAGCCTTCACGCACTTTACCGAAGGAAGACGGAGGGAAAGGGGACCGCCCGACGAGTCCCCAAACTTGCATGAGCCTCTCCAAGGTGGCCGGGTTCAACCGACTCTTAATCCACTCTAAGTTCAATACGGGCACGTTGACTTGCTGTAGCGGGATAGCGTGTTCATCTTGTGGAGTGGCCAGACGCGTCCTTGTCGCGCGTCTCGTTATTGTAGCGGCCTGATTGTGATTAAAATCATGGAAAAAACGCTCCTCTGCTCTTAGCCAGGGTTCTTGCCCTTCCGCAGTTTCTCCCTTCACATCAATGCGACCAGCGACGACACCTGGGTCAGCATTGTGGTGTATCTCCCCAAATATCGAACAGTATTCTGGGGAAGGTCGAACGGGTCGACATGTTTCGCCAACTGCGAGATCACGTGTGGATTCAAATTGTACGTCTCCACGATTTGAGCAGCGTGTCTCAACGCTCCCCGTTTTATGGAATGCGCCGTGGCATCCCAAGGAGCCAGAGCTCGTTCGACTTGGGCAGTCGTCAGATTCGTGAGCTTTTCGCTGTGTTGAAGTGTCCTGCATAACTTTATAATGTCGAAAGCGTCCTGCCCTCGTATCTTTACAAACCGCGGGGCGCGGTGGGGATCCGCCCTCGCCGTCTTCGGCGCGACGGACCAATCCAAAATTAAGGCCCCGTCCGGCTCCATTGTGAAATTGTTGGCTGTCAAGGCCGCAATCTCGGACCAACGACTCGCCGTTATCCACGCGAGTCGTAAGACAACACGTTCCTTCCAATCGGTCCGGCTGCGGATTACTTGATTCATCTCTTCCTTTGTCAAGGGGCGCGCTTGCTTCGTCTCCGATCGCGCCGCAATTTTTCGTAACCCCAGAATCATCATGTCCAGCGGGGTTCGATCCATTTCCAACATGGACCGCAGCATCCTGGCGTACTGCAGCCGGGTCGATGGCGCGACTTCGATTGCCATCAAAAAGGCCGCACAGCTCTCCTCGTTTATCGGCTGTTCGTGCGTGCGGCAAAAAGTCGTGAATTGCCCCGCTAGGGACATTCTCTGCTCCCACGTTGACGGCGCCCACATTTCTCGAGCCACCTCGTTTGCTTTCCTCATATAACTGGCCCAAAGCGGAACTGCCGGTGTTTCGTCGTACCACAGTCGAGCGTCGTTTACGGATAAGCTCCATTGCCCTTCCCGACGATTGCGTCGGGCAATGTGAAAGATCGGGTGGAGCATCGATGGCGCGGTGCGCTGCCTGTGAGGATTGGTGGGAGGTGGCGGATTGGATGGG